GGCCCCACGGCCCCACAGCCCAGGAGTGAAGGAGTCCGGATTTTATCCTAGTCTCAATAGGGAGCCATCAGGGAGCCCTGAGGGAAGCGTGATGCGCTCTGGTTTCCTTTGTTAAAGCTCCTCTCGGCTGTAGAGAGGAGAACTGGTCACAGGCCAAGCGTGGGAGCAGCAAGACCCCGGCAGCGCTGACTCCTCAAACAGGATCCGGGGGAGGCAGCTCAGACCAGGGTGGGGACGCGGCGCGGGAGGAGTCGGAGTCGGGGTGTGTGTAGGTGGGGCCTACAGACTCGCGATGGGATGCTAGGCTCCAGGAAAGAGGATTCACGGCCTCACCGCCACCCCTACAGCTCCTTCACAGCACTTCATCGTCGTGCAAAAGCACAGCAGCTGCTGTTTATTGAGGATTTACACTGGGATTTTGCGTTATTAACTGGTCTGTCTCAAAATGATCAGCAACGCCAGCGGGGAGGGATTATTACGCCTTGTGTGATTTACTCGGCTTTGCTAATCCACTTTAAAGACTGAACGTCGAGCTGGAAACGACCACGATTCACTCACCTCACCAAGAGCACGCGGCGCAGGCTCCCGGGTGGGCGGCGCGGGAAGCGGCGGATGGGGTGCTTCACACCCGGGCGGGCGGCTGCGCCCGCTTTCCCCTCCCTTCAGTCAGGCATAACCCCACCTGAACCGCATGTAACACGGCGCTTCCACCTTTGTCCCTCCTCTGTGAGGTTGTCGTTATTACCCCATTTTACAGATGAGTAAATGGCCTCCCTGCATTTGACTTTGTCCAATCCACTATTCACCAACGAGAACAGTCCCTCTGAAATGCGGATGTGTCCAGCCCTTCCTCTGTCCTCTCCCCACCCCATCCCCGGCCCCAAGCTCCCACCGCGTCCCCTTCCCCCAGTGGCCAGAGGCCGCCAAGCACTAACTCCAGGACCTTGCCTGGGAACTTCTTCCCTCCATGCCATTTTGCCCCACAGCTCCTTCTCCTGGCCGCAGGTCTCAGTTCCACGTGTCCCTCCCTGGGAGGGGGCGGGGGGTCTACCTCACTGCAGTCACCAGCTTGGCACCTGTAATTACTCGGCACCTGTAATTACTGTGCTGGGTGATGGATATTCATAAGCCCTGGAAGGGTTGGGAAGGTCCTGTCTGCCACCTTTCCCTCCGTTTTCACTGTTTTTGAGAGGGGAAGGCTTTGCCCTGCCACACACTTGCATTGTGGCCTCTCTTTCCTCTTCTATTAACCAAATGTACCCCAAGACCCAGGGCCAGCAACAGCTCCCCACCCCAACCAAGCTCTAGGGCCGGGGGTGGGGGGGAGTTGGGGCATTTTGGAGTTCTGAGCTTTGGCCTCGTGGGTGCCAGATGTCTAGTAAAGCCTGGATGCTGAAGATCATTAAATGCCACATGACAAAGGGCTTCCCAAGACAAAAAGCAGAGATAAGAAATCATGAGTTCTCCTGATGATGGGCCCCCTCTCCTTCTTCCATTGTCAGGGAGGAGTGGAAAGTCACTGTGGTTTTGGAGGGACTGAGATCCTGATACAAGCCCCTCCATCACCCCATGCCCTTGGAACAGCAGAATGGACAAAATGTGGTATAGTTATGTGAGGGAATAGTACACAACCATGAAAAGTGAACTACCAATCCACACTGCCATATGAATCAAGCTCACAGACATAGTGTAATGCCATAGAAGCCAGATGCAAAAGAATTCAGGGTGTATAATTTCATTTCTGCAAAGTTCAAGAACAGGCAAGATGAACCTAATTTGTGAGGAAACCAGGAAAGGTGGGGTACCAGCCAGAGGGTGCTAGAGATGTCCTGCACCTTTACGAGTGGTGACATGAATACTCATTGATTGTACACTTGAGATTGCGCACTTTTCTAGAAATTTTACTTCAACAATTTTTTTTAAAATTTAGGGTGAGCTGACAAAGCACTTGACTTCAGCCTCTAATTGAAATAAAGCAGGAATTTGTAGAACTTAAAGAATTAGTGAGAACATTTATCAGCAGTTCCTCATAAGAGATCATACCTAGGAGATTATATTGTCTTAAATGGTTTTCTAACTCTTTATATTAAAAACAGAGGAGCAGTAGTAAGTAAAGGGATTATGTGTTAATACACAGTTAAGACTTTATACTATTTAATCAACTAAAACCAATTCATGGGTGTTTTATTCTTGATTTTTATTTACTGAAAAATTGTTATTAAAACAAAAAGGAAAATTATCTCCCTGAACTCACTATCGCCCTCACGGTTCTTGCTGCCATGCAGATATTTCACTTAGTCATCATTATCTACATTTAATTTTTATTGTATATATGTATATTACATTTTCTATAATTTATTATGTTGTCCCTTTAAAATCAGTATTCCTAAGATCTAATAAATACCCACATCCATTCTCTGCCAGATTTTTCAGTATATGGTCTTTTTCTGAACTTAATTTTTTATGCAGATAGAGATGGTTTTCCATGAACTGTAAGGTGTATCTAAATTACAAATTATTTTTTCAAGCTGCTAATCAGGTTTTTTTTCAGAGCATTTGCTAAATAATTCATCACCCACTCATTGTTTTGGAGTGATTTCTTTATCATAGTTAATTTTTACATGTGATCTCATCTATTTCTAGGCATTCTATGGTAATCCATTAAAATCTATTTCTTTTTTTCCATCAATATTCTCACTGTTCTAACTATTGTCACTTTATATATTTTAATATTCAGTATGACTCTACATCAATGTTCTCTTCTTCCAGAATATTCTTTGATATTCTGACCAATGTTTTTTTCGGATGAATTTTAGAATCATTTTATCAAGTTCCTTTTTGCAGGATTGTCTGGTATTGCATTAAATCTGCAAATTAACATGGAGGTGGTTTGACATTTTTACAATATTCGGTCTTCCCATGCAGAAACATAGTATGCATCTCCATTTATTCTGGTCTTCTTTTATTTCACCAATAAAATTTTGTAGTTGTCTTTATATAGGTCACATGCATTTCTCATTAAGTTTATTCCTAAGTATTTTTCTGTTACTCTTGGGAATGCCATCTCTTTTCTTCATTACAGTCTCTGGCGGACTGTGGCTGGAACCCAGGAGAGCATTGACTGGGTCAGGTCTCGTCTCTGGCCACTTTACTTGTTTATAAACATTTGAGTTATTTCTTTTGGATTTTTGGTCCCAAATCACATTGATAGTGAATACTGTTTGTCATGTCAGCATTAGATGGGGCTCCAAACTGGCATCTGATAGGCCTGGGGAAGCCAGCCACAGACTGCCCACTGAGCCACAGCCTCACCCCCACTGGGGCTAGAACCAGCCCTGAACCCCAATTCCTTGCTGAAAGCCCTGGCACCCTCCCCTTTGTCCTTCTCCCTCCATCTAGTGGCTCTCTACCCCAGCTTTCCTGGGGGGTCTCCTCTCAACTCTGATGGGTTCCCCATGGACCCAAGTTGCGGCCATCGTATTAATCAAAGCCATAGCTACCAAGTATCCAGATGTGTCCTGCCCCTTGGTCAAACCTTACATAATATCTTTTTTTTTAATCCCTGAAGAGTATATATGATTAACCAGAGAGGTTAAAGGACTTTTTGAGATCACACAGGTATTAAGTGGCAGATCTGGGATTCAAACCTGGGTTCCTTCTACTCAGCCCCATTGCTTCCCTCTATGTGCCCCGGGCACCGCCCAGAGACTCTTGTCCCTTACCCATCAGACAGGCCACAGAGGATTAATTTCTTGCCAGCCTGGACTCCTCAGAGTTCACCAGGCCACTCTGGGCATTACAGTGTAAACCCCAGGAGCCTAGCCAGCTCTGCCACCTCCACCTGGTCCCAACTACTCCAGAATTAGGCCTGAGCCCCTTGTGTTAGAAGAGTTTGGTGACCACCTGGCAACTTTCCCTATTAAAGAATGTGGTCATTACAGACACCCAAGCCCCAGGCTCCTTTGAGGGAATGCTCTACCTGAATATTTTTCATATTAAAGGGCAATTTTGGTAGTAATCATGGTAGCAACAGTAGCAGCTAACATTTACTTAGCTCCCACCATGGACCAGACACTGTGTTCAGTGAAACACATACATAATCCCATTTATCTTCACCACAACCCTGTGAGTTAGAAACTTCAGTATCCATTTTATAGATGAGAAAACTGAGGCTCTGGGAGGTAAATTTATTTGTCCAAGGATATTCAACTTCTAAACAGCAGAGCCAGAATTTGAAACTTGCTGGGAAGTCTATTAACTTTGTTTGAACCCTTCATTTCTGCACATGGAACTTTCCATATTGTACAGACAAATGGTGTTATAAAGCAGTGGTCCCCCAAAGCTGCTCCACAAACTGGTGTGTCTTCAGCATGATCAGAGGGGCTTTATACAAAGCAGAGGCCCAGGCCCCAGCACACTGAGCGATCAGGCAGCCCAGAACCTGTGGTTTTTGCAAGTCCCTCACCAGGTCTGATGTCCAGCCAGATTTGAGAATGACCATCCAAAGAAGGGCTCTTTGCCATCTAAGGCAGTGGACATTGGTTTATTTTGTAATGAATCCTAATAGTAATCAATATGAGAACAAAAGAAGCAAATGATTTAGCAATAATTGCTGAATTATTTTTGCATGTTTGGCAAATGAGGAGGAATTTCAAAACGAAGACGCCAAAATCATATTCACTGTTCAGAAAGCAGTGAATATTTGCACGATATAAAAAGTCAGCATGAACTATAAAGAAAACATGAAATCCTAATAGATTTCTGGAAGGACATGCACCACATCTGACCGAGATGCTGAAGAAGTCACTTACCCAGAAGGCAAGACCATTAGTAAATTCCAGCATGGGAAACAGTCCACTTCGTAAATGATTTTTTTAAAAAAAGATAAAATAGTGAGGTGCCCTTTAAAGTCTGGTAAACTATAAAATAGCATTGTAAATATCACCACAGAATTAAAAAGCATGGAGTTTGGAATTAGCCCTAGTGGGTTTGATATTGACCTCTGCCAGCCCTCCTGCTCTGTGACACGAGCCTTCTTCAGTCCCAGTCTCCTCATCTGAAAGATGAGACAAAGTGATGGTTACCTTGTAGAGCCGTTGTATTAAATGAGAAACAAATGAGATGTGTAATAACCAGGCCGTAGCCCTCAATGGGCCCCAGTAAATTGAGCTGGGTCAATGGCTATATTATGGTGTTACATTGCAGTGAAACTGTTAAGTGCATATACTGCCTGCCTTTTGCAAGAAATCTGTCCTACAACCCGATACAGGACTCACACTGAGAACCCAGGCCAGTCCCAGTCCCAGCAGCCTCCTCCCTCCCTCCTGTACCCTTCTCCCTTCTGTCCTTGCTGCTGCCTCTCTGGTTGCCATTCTTGGGGCATCCTTCAAAATAGGGCTCCTTAACCTGGATGGGAAATTGACTCCCTTGTAGCTGAACTCTAGCCTTTCCTTCCACTAGGAAGGTAGTGTTACCAATATCTGTGACTTTGTCACTGGCAGAAATCACAGATGTTTTCATATCACATCACACTTGCTGCCAAATTCTCAGAAAACCTTTTACACTTACCACAGCCTTGAAATCAGGACGATGATTAGAACTGCCACCAGATCCTGCTAGTTCACGTGTTAATAAAGAAGGATGTGTATTGCTATATCACAAGTTTTTATATTTTGATAATTATATTTTAATAAATCAGTCTCTTTGTAATCCTGTATATACGATTTCATGCATTTAAAAGAAGGGACCCACAAGCTTCCCCAGACTGCCAAAGGGGTCCATGGCATTTAAAGGGTTAAGAGCCCCTGTTTTAAGACCTCTGCAGTGGGTTCCATTATTCTCTCCATTTTACAGATGAGAAAACTGAAGCTTGGAGACGTTGTCACTTGCCCAGGGGTACTCAACTAGCAAACAATGAATCGTCAATTTGACCTTGGCATTCCCTGGAGCCAGTGCCTAACTTTGTACCACCTGCTTCCCCCACAGTCTTATTCTAGGGGCTGAAAATACAGATATGCTCCAGTGTGGCCCTTGCACCCCAGGAGGGCCCAAAGCCATGGGGAGACAGCTCCCTCTGTAATCCTAACCCAGGATCGTAAGCGTTTTTCCTTTTAGGCTCCAGCATACGCCCTGATCTGGTTCCTCTTTGGGGAATGGGACCCCTAGAGTGAGTCAAAGCTGGGGTGAGTGGGCCTGAGGTCTCACTTAGGGTGTACCGACTTTGGTGACTGAGAGTGGAGGGAGCTGGGGACGAGTCCCTGAAACGAGGCCCAAGAGAGGACCCCAACTGTCCAGCCAGAAAAGGCTGTATCCAGGCCTAAAGGCTGAGGGACCAGGGAGAGAATAGGGGTGGCATGTTCTTAGACCAGTGCCTATAAGCTACTTTACACAGCTATTAGAGATTTAGCAAATGTTTGTTGATTGACTGAATGAGTGAATAAATGAACAAATAAGCAGGTTCAGCCTGGACCAACCAAAGGCTGGATTGGCCAGGGGTATCCTGTGGGAGCAGAGTGATGACCACCCTCCAGGCCTGTCATGACATCTTTTTTGTGTCCCTTTTGGCAGGGCCTGGCCCCACTCACCCGTCTTCACCTCTGCAGAGAAGCTGCTTCTCTTGCCCTCAGAAAGCCTAACCCCTGGACACTTTCCCTGGGGGGAACAGGAAACTGGAGCTGGCTAGCCACGCCCCTCAGATTGGGGTGACAGGGTGAGGACAGGAATGTGAGTCCCTTTGTACCCCAAGAGCTGACTACTTGTCTCCCCAATAGAACATTCCTTCTATGGAAACCCCAGTCCTCAGTTCTGAGCTCCAGACTGCCCCACAGCTCCATTATTAATGCATTCACTCATTCATTCATTCATTCTGCAAGTGTTAAGAGCTTACGACATGCCAGAGAGTTCTGGCACTGGGGATACAGCAGTGAACAAAAGAGACATGGTCTCCATCGTCGTGAGTTTTGGGGGTCTGGGTGACAGGGTAGGAGCAGACAATCAAAAGATAAGTAAACAAACAGATGAAGAAGAGAGTTTTTTAGGTGGTGGGAAGTTCTGAGAAGCCATCTCACTCAGGGTGGTGAGATAGTGTGGTCCCTGCACTGCTGTTCACTTCTCCATGAGGTATACAGTTTTACAAAACATTGAAATCACCCCCGAGGCCATTTCTCCAAAGTTTGCTGAGATTAATCGCACTAAATTCATCTCCTTTCGCTAATGCAAACAACCATTCTCTGCCTGGATAATCTTAGCAGAGAAGGAAACTGAAAAAACGATATTCAGGTCAGACCCAAAAAAGGAAAGACCTTGAATTGCACTGTTCTTAAAAGCACTTAAAAGGGATTGAATTAGAACTGAGACAAAAAAAAAAAAAATGGCCCCTGAATCCAACTCCCGCTGCCACCAAGTTAGAAAAATAGCTGAAGGAAGAGGATGTAGCCCGTCAATCAAGTTATGATCGTTTTATTTTTAAAAAAATGAGAAGTCTTTTGTTTTAAGAGGAGCAGGCTGGTAATTTGGAGGTGCGGAGGCAGCGTCAGAGCAAAAAGCTTTCATATTTCCAGACAGAAAGGATTTGGCAGCTGATAGAGAAGTTGAGGGTCGCATAATGAGCTCCAACTCCGTTGAGGTTCCCTTTCCCAAAGAGAACAGGGGAGCTCAGCCGTCTGGCTGATTGATAGAAATCCAGGTAGGGCATGCCGGAACAGGTATGCACAGTCTCTCCTTTGTTGGTAATCAAAGTCAGCTGAATAGGACTCCATCTTTTCTTTCTTATTCCTGTGTTCCAATCTGAGAGGCTCAGATGAAATGTGTTGCATTACACCAGCACCAATAAGTCACACTATCTATGTTGTGACACACCGAATATTACTAATTGTCAATCACAAACCACAAGTCTTGTCAAGACGCTCCCTTCTTGACGGGCTGGTTCAAAGCTGAAGTGATTTTTAATCAGGTGTTAATAATACAGCATCTGTCAGTGGACGGTGGGTATCAGGCAATCAGAAAAGTGAACCTATGACACGGCAAATTTTAATGTTTTCCTTTTCCGTTCTTCCCAATTATCGGTGGGATTTCTGTCAGCCTGAAAAGCGCAGACATTGTTGCAGGTGAACTTCCCCGTGGAAGAGGGGGAAGGCGGCTGTCAGGGCTCCACCGGCAGGGTGCCCCGCCCCGCCTGCAGGAGAGGGTCTCCCCATCCTCCAGGAAGCCCAAGGGGGCCTGTGCTGGCCCAGGGGGAGAGGGAGGGTTTGGGTCTGGGGCAGAGGAGCCCCATCCCCTACAAGCACACCTGGATATTAGGAGGGGCGCTGCTTCTTTCCGTCATGGGGTTAGAAGTAGTCTGAAGAAGGCAGTAGGCAGACTCCCTCAGATACCCCTACCCGCCGGGAACATACACACTCCACCGCCTCGTTGCGGGGCCAGAAACTCCAGTGCCCCAGCATGGACTGGATCACCTTGTTCCGACATGAACAAGAGTTGACCAGAGCTCTGATTTGCTTTTCCTTTTACCTAGGTTCCCCATACTGGAACTGCGATTCCACTGAACACCGAAGGAAGGGAGGGAGGGAGCAGGGGAGAGTTTGTGAGGCACCTTCTACTTCGGCAAGGCAGGCACGACCCTGCTCCTTCCCGCCTTAAGCCCTACCTGGGACATGCTGTGAGCTCAGTGGCAGAGGTTTGTCCTTCGGGCTCAGCAGACTTGTGGCTTCCTTCTTCTCATGCTCTAGAGCCCAGAGCCAGAACAGACACTGCTGGGTGTTGAATCCATTTCCTACCCACCACCCCACAATTCTGACATTTGGCCATGCAACTTCTTCTTGCACACCTCCAGCAACGGGACACTCATTACCAAGCAGACAGCCCATTCCTCTGTTACTCAGCCCTGGTTGTGAGGACTTTATTCGTAACTTCCTTCCAGATCCAAGTGGGACGTGTGTGGACAGAGCCCTTGTCCGCTATACCAGCTGACCTGCCGTCCGATGATGGGTTTGGGAGGTGGCCTGTGGGCATGGGGCTGTTGCTGAGTCAGGTTCGTGAGCATGCCCATCCAGCAAGGCTCGTCCCTCCTACAACAACGAATTTCACTGCAGCAGCTGGCAGTGCCAATCCCCAACCCATCCTGAAGCTTCCTCCTTGCCTGGCCTCCCTGGTGCCATGAGTAACTCATCCCCTTCCCTATTCCTGGATCTTGCTCTTCAGGCGCCATTTCTGTCTATCTCTTTAATGTAAGGGTTCTTCCAGGCCCAGCTCACTGCCCTCCAAACATCATATACATTCTGGATGACCATATCCACCCCAGTGACTTTTTTTTTTTTTAACATTGATGAGTTGAGGACCTAGCCCAGAGTTTACCTCTGAACTCCAACCAGGTCTATAAATGCCCTGTCACCTGGACATCTCCACCTAGATGTCCCATAGGCACTTGAAATTCAATTTCAATAGAACTTCTTTTGGAGGTGTCCCAGCTTGGTGAAAAATAGCACCATTGACCCCCCAGCTTCTACTTTAGGAAACTGTAAGCCATCCTGACGTTTTCCATCTCCCCACCCCCATGTCCCAGCTGACCGCTGCCCACTCCCTTCCTACTTCACCCTTCACCATCCCCATGGCCTGGCCTCAGCTCAGGGCTATTCTCCTGGGTCAAAAGAGACCCCGCCTCTCACCACTTCCCTGTGGTGGATCCTCTACTCGGATGGCTGGAGTCATCTTTCTAAAACCCAGCTCAGTACCCTTCCAGGGGCGCCTAGTGCCTGTAGGATAGAGTTCAAACTCCTGAGCCTCCGGGCTTCAACTACACTATCCTCCAGTGAGGACAGTAATGGTCACCCCCTAGGGCTGCAAGGAAGTAAATGAGGTGACAGACAGGCAGCGCCTGGGGGGCACTGGACAGTCACCAGTTTCCTTTCTTGATCACCCAAGGGGACATTTTTTCCATGTCAGAAGAGAATGCATTTGTTTTCCAGTCCATCTTGCCAATAGATAGTAAGAACTTTTCATCTCTGTGTGTCCTGATCCAGTCCAGGATGAGACTCAAGATCTGATTCCACAAATCCTCCT